GCGGGAGACCTGGGCCGGCTTCTGACGGCCGGGGCGGTGGCGGCGGGTGAGGGAGGCCGCGGGCGCGGGCGGCCTCCCGGGGGAGGAGGGCGGGTGCTCTGGGTTGCTATCCCCCAGTTTCGGGGTGAAACTTGTGGCCCCCTGGGTTTCCAGCCAGGTCCTTGCAGACTTCTCGGGGCTTCCAGGTCGCTTTGCTCAGGAAGCCTGGGGACGAAAGGGCGTAGATCAGGGCTGCAGCTCTCCTCTGTCCTTACCACTGCGACCTGGGCGCATCCACTGTCTCAGGCTTTTTGTTTTGTTTTTTTCTTCAGACCAATGAGTTGAACAGCATCAGTTTTTAACTGTGTTCGCGGGCTTTTAGAAGTCTCAGGGTTTCTGACCCTCAAACTATTCCAGCGGGTCCTTAGGCACTCTCCCACTCAATCATTGTTTAAATCATCACTGAACAAACAGCGTTGATTTTGGTGCCGGATTCACTTAAGTGGTTAGTGGCAGATTAGCAAACTGCATTTTAGAAAGGTTTAATAAATAATATAGTGGTGGTCTCTCCATTGAACAGAGGCCCTGTCATAAACATAGACCCTGGTGGTAGGTGTTATATTCCTGTAGCCGGCAACTTCTTCAAGCCTTAGACTCACAGACAGCCTTTGCCGACTGGACTGCACTCCGAATGTTTTTGTAGCGCTTCATCCTGCTGCAGCTTCAGTCAGTTCGTAGCAGGTTCCTGAATCCAACTCTTAGATTTGGCCTGGATTCAGTGTGAAGCCTGTAGTAAGCAAAAACAACAGGACAGGTGACTTAATTCATTGTTACTTCGATATGTCCCTTACCATTGACTGTTGTTATGAACCACTACGCAGGTGGAAACTTGTTTTCACATGGTCCTTCCCTATGGAAACTTAGCCATCTGGGTTATACTGTTACGTTTTATACATCTGGTCAGGCTGACTTATATCTAAAAATGTCTACTATCTGCGATACAGTTTATCCTTTCCAGTTTTACATATCTTTCATGTTTATTAAGTTGAGATCTGTCTCTTTTGGATTAGTTGAAAGGGTTAAAATTAAGTGGAGATATCAGATACTAGGAAATTATCTTGCTCATAACTCTTCGTCTTGGGCTTCCTTGAATGGCATATAATATATGCTTGATCACTCTTAAGTCTCAAAATCGCAAACATGCCCGGTTTTTCACATTGAAAAGTGGCATAATGGGCCAGTGAGATGGCTCAGTGTGTAACAAGTTCTCTGGTGGACAGGAGCAGGGGCAGTAGAACTCATATATGCATATATGCAGAGGCTCATATATGCAGAGGGCACTGGCCGGAGTAACAAGAGAGATCCTGCCTCAAAAACATGATAGAAATATAGAACTGATTCTTAAAAAGTTATCCTCTGACCTCCACATGTGTGTCAAAGCGCAAGAACACACACACTCACGAAATAAATCTAAAAATAGATATAAAACTTTTGCAGATTATTATGTTTCAGTTTCTCATATTGACACATGTATCTTTAATTTCTTGGTATCAAATTGAAGCTTGCAGCATCATGCTTTATTTAGTAACAATAGTGGTAGCTCATCAGGCAGGTCTCAGTCGAGGGAAACATTATTCTGCAAGCATGATCACCTCGAGGCTCCCTTTTGTTTACATACAACCTCTTTGCGTGTTGGATTAAGATATCCTATAGGGTGGTATCTTTTCTAGACTATTACAGTTTTCTTTAATGGGGACTGAGCTGTATCTTCTGGTTTTCATTGTGCAAGTAGTATGATTGGTATATCTAGCTTCATGTGGCTACTTGCTATAATTTAATGTTTAAGATGTAGTCAATTTAGAAAGTCATTAAGTCGGGAATGGTGGCTCACACCTGTAATTCCATCACTCTAGAGTCTGAAAAAGGGGGGCCAGGGGATCGGGAGTTTTGAAGCCAGCCTGGGCCGTTTGAACTTTGTGTCAAACAAAAAATAAACCCACAAAAAGTGATGATTATCTTTATCATTAGATAAAGCTAATTATAAATTAGTTTCCAAATCTGAGAATCGATACCTTTATGAACTTTCCAAAACGTGTGTATAGACAGCATTAGGACAAAATAATTAATAAGGTATGATAGATTTAGATATAGATCAGATTGATACACAGATGCATAGATAGATAGATAGATAGATAGATAGATAGATAGATAGATAGAGACTTACATATTCTACACCGTGTATATCCATGGCTTTATTATTAGATAATCTACTTAATATTGCTAGATTGATGTTAAGTGGAGTCAGAATTAAAACCTAGAATTTTTTATGCCAAATGGAGACTCTAGTATATGGTCCTCAAAAACAACACCTAGTAAATCTCCAATACAAAACAAAAAAGAAAAATACCACCAAAAAAAGTGGTTTTTTGTTTGTTCATTTTTGTTTTTGTTTTTTTGATTTAACAGACTTACTATGAGTGATGTCTACCTCCTGTTGGTTCAGCCACTTTTTCCTAGAGTTGAAAATTTGGTAGATTTTTGTTTAATGGAGATTACTGGGTTACTTGCTACACAGGGACAGTTGAAAGAAAATTTTCTTACAGAATTGGCCAGTAGATTTTTTTTTTTTTTTTTTTTTTGCTTAAGAAAGCTAAATCAAAATCAGACACTGACCAGTACCTACCATATTTTGCTCCAATTTTAGATTTTCTTCCATTTGTATGTGATGGTTGTTCGGGAATATTTTGGTAAGTTTTTATGTAGGATTTGAAAAGAATTTTGATATTTTTCAATATGGGGATAATTTCTGAAAATTAGAATGATTTTAAATGGTTGTAATTTTAGCCATTGACAGTTGGTATTCAGCATTGTAATCATTTGTGAAAAAGGTAAACTGACTAGTCATAGATTAATTAGTTATACATATATATCATTAATCTTTTAAGTTTCAAGAAATGCAGTCATGAATGTGGGTTTTAAGAATAGGTATCATAATTTACAACGAGAAAGTAATGTCCACATATAAAGAATATAGCTTTTAAAAATCCAGCCATTGGCCGGGCGGTGGTGACGCACGCCTTTAATCCCAGCACTTGGGAGGCAGAGGCAGGCGGATCTCTGTGAGTTCGAGGCCAGCCTGGGCTACCAAGTGAGTCCCAGG